ACCCAGTAGATACTTTCTGGGGTTGACATGAGTTAAAGGGCTGGTCTGGAGGAGGCTGGCCGACATCTCCTTCGTGGTGTGCAGGTTCTGTGCTGCGGCTTGGACGGGAGTAGGGGCTATGTGTCACACACTGAGTGCCTCTCACCCGAGCCTGGGTTTGCCTCTGTGGCCTTGACACAGCTCTTGGTTTAGTCTCTCACTGCCAGTGCACTCTAAGGCTTATGCTGGGAGGAAAAGTCATCGACCCACCGAAGGCGGTCACTGTGGCGGAACTGTAATGTCACAGTCATTTTACACAGAGACCTGTGTCAGAGCCCAGGGCTCTGTGGCTGTGTTCAGGTTCAGTAAAGTCTAGTGAGGTCTGGGACAAGCTACAGATTGGCAGAGAAGAAGGGGGTCCTATAGGAGGGGAGGGAGCAGAGCAGGAGGCCGCCTGTAATCAAGGACGTGAGCCATGGTGTTATTTTTTTCTTTAGACTGGAAAAGAATGTGAAGAAAGAGGAGTTTGTGTATTTCTGCTGTTTTCATTTTTGTAGCTTCTTAGGGCCCAGCAAAAAGAAACAGTATTTTGAAAATGTTTTCCCTTCTGGCCTTCCTAGGCACCAACTCCTTCTGCTATGAAAGACAGACCAAGAAGGAAGCAAAGCCTGGCTCGCCTTAATAGGCTATTTGCATAACATTTCGTACACCGTATTTTTCTCGCCCATCTGATCTTTATTACAGCCTTTTGTTGTTACACAGTGTGAATTTGAGCAGTGATTCTGCTGTTGTATTAGCATGTAGTCTAGCAATTACCCCGCTGTCTCTGACCTGACGTCCCTACAGGATATCATGGCAGTGCCCACCTGACTGGACTGCCACTGGGGGATGCTTTGGGTTCAGGGCACTAAATATCTGACAGATAACACCTTCCTTGCACTAAAGCAAACGAAGGTTGAGCTCTGGCCACTGTAGCTCAGAGACCACACACTCTGATAGTGGGGAGCCTAACCCTGTAGGCCGAGTCCTTCCTGGAGACATCGCTAAAATGCTTTCAGAAAAATGTCTATACGGTTGGAGGCTTAGCTATAAGTCTGTTACCAGAATAATCTACTTAGGGACTACTACTCCATGGAAGTGATAGGGTAAGTAATCTGTTACCATAGTAATCTCTGGGATGTGTGTGCACAGACTAGTGAGACTGCCTGTTCTTTACGAATTGTACAAGAAGTAAGGTGTGTGTGTCTACACATACACACCTATACGTTTGTATCCACTGCTTCCATTCCGCATCTGTGTCCTTTGCCTCTTACAAAAAACAACTGAGCAGCCATGAATGTCCCTAATTTTTCTAAAGTAGTCATCATTTCTCCTTGAGTACACAGCATTTGAAGGAGAGGAGAGGCCAACCGTAAGTCACCAGCAGAGTCCTTGAGGAGCTGCTGTGCGCTGGGCAGTAAGCCCAGCATGCTAGGTCTTTGGGGGATGCGCAGCGGATGGGTGAGGCCAGCAAAGAAAGATGCCGTAAGGACAAGAAGAATGCAGGAATTGGGGTGGGAGCAGGGCAGGTGCAGTCAGGGAAGGTTCCGTGGAAAATGGAGGATTTAAAAGTTTCTGAGCAGACAAGGTTTTCTAAGAGTGGATGGCAGAGGAAGGCTCTTCGTTGCCTTTGGGGTGTTAATGTAGGTCAGTGTGGCCGAGCTTTGGGAGCAGGGACTGTCCCCATTTACCTACAAGGTAGTGAGGGCTTTTATTTGCTGGTTAGTGAAGAAGCCTCTGAGAATCTGTACTCTACAGCGCTGTAGGTAGGAGTGAAGGTGACAGCCCCTTGTTTACAATATGTGGTTCTCCACTCCTGTCTGCTGACTGACCCTAGAGCTCCTGTCCAATAGTTGACATGCTGATGGTTTGCCGTCACTCCCTAAGGACCGATACCATTTCTGTGGCAGGCAGATGCTGCAGATACACAGCATGGAGTCATTTTATACTTGTGAGGTGAGGCTTTTAGACATGTCCCGTGGTATACTTGTATTAATACAAAGGTATGTGCCCAAGCCATAAATTGCTTTAAGTTTCCACTCCTTATAAGCTACAGTACAGGCTGTTTTATTTAAGAGAGGAGATCATTTATAGACTTGACTTTTTTTCTTTTTTAGATTTATTTATTCTAGGCATATGAGTGTTTTTGCCTGCAAGCATGTATGTGCATCATGCGTGCACAGCGCCGGCCAAGGTCAGCAGAGGCATTGAATGTCCTGGAACTGGAGTTACTGGCAGTTGTGAACTGCCATGTGGGTGCTGGGAACTGAACCCAGGTCCTCTGCGCGAGAGCAGTGGCTATTCTTAACCACCTCTGCACCCTGATTTATAGAGTTAGATTTAGCCGTGTTTGGATTCTGCTGCAGTTATGGTGGTTACTCGGTTCTCCTCAGTAGCTGAACAGTTGTTTTGTTTGTTTTTTGTCTTGTTCATTATCTTGTTCAGTACCTGACCTCATTTCCTGATTTTGAATATTAATGCCTGGTCCCTTTATTTTCATTTGTTGAGCTTTGTGGTTAGAAAAATAATCCTCATCGAGGATTGCAGGTAGATTTTTCAAGGACACTTGCTCAACCATGTTTTTAGCAGCTTTATTCATAATAGCCAGAACCTGGAAACAACCCAGGTGTCCCTCAGTTGAGGAATGGATACAGAAATTGTGGTATTTTTACACAATGGAATACTACTCAGCAATTAAAAACAAGGAAATCATGAACTTTGCAGGCAAATGGTGGGACCTAGAAGAGATCATTCTGAGTGAGGTATTCCAGAAGCAGAAAGACACACATAGTATATACTCACTTATAAGTGGGTACTAGACCTACAAGATAGGATAAACATACTAAAATCTGTACACCTAAAGAAGATAAACAAGAAAGAGGGCCCGGGGTAAGACAAATGGATGGACATTGGAAATAGGAGAAAACAAGTAACAGGACAGGAGCCCACAACAGAGGGCCCCTGAAAGACTCTACCTAGCAGTGTATCAAAACAGATGCTAAGACTCATAACCAAACCTTGGGCAGAGTTCAGGGAATCATATGAAAGAAGGGGGAGTTAGTATGACCTGGAGAGGACAGGAGCTCCACAAGGACCAAATATATCTGGGCGCAGGGGTCTTTTCTGAGACTGTTTCTCCAACCAAGGACCGTGAATGGATATAACCTAGAACCCCTGCCCAGACATAGCCCATGGTAGCTCAGTATCCAAGTGGGTTCCCTAGTTAGGGGAACAGGGACTGTCTAAGACATGAACTCAATGGCTGGCTCTTTGACCTCTCCCCACCCCCAGGGAGGAGCAGCCTTGCTAGGCCACAGAAGAGGACATTGTAGCCAGCCCTGAAGAGACCTGATAAGCTAGGATCAGATGGAAGGGGAGGAGACCCCCCCTATCAGTGGACTTAAGAGAGGGCAGGAAGGAGATGAGGGAGGGAGGGTGGGATTGGGAGGGAATGAGAGAGGGGGCTACTGCTGGGATACAAAGTAAATAAACTATAATTAATATAAAAAATAATAAATAAAATAAAAAGATTTTTCAATGTAGTTGAGAAAGAGTAGAGCATGACATGTGTAGGCCCAACATGACTTAGCAGAGAAAACTGCATCTTTAGAACACAGGTGGCCTGCACTGGCCATGGGACAGGCAGGAACACCAATGCACTTAATTAGTTAGTTAATTGAGATGTGCCGGGTGTGGTGGTGCACACCTTCAATCCCAGCAGCAGGGTCTCTGAGATCGAGGCCAGCCTGGTGTACAGAGTAGAGTGAGTTCCAGGACAGCCAGGGCTATATAGAAAGACCCTGATTCAAACAAACAAACAAACAAACAAGCAAAAACAAAAACCAAATAAATGAAAAAGAATTGTCTTCTTCATTCTATTGTGATATTTTATATTCAGAGAACTTCTCTGCTGTATATCTTGTGACTGCCCACCAGCTCGGCCTTATAAACACGTCTTGTGTTTCTAATTTTAAATCCAGTCATATGTTCATCTCAGATCCTCTTCTGACCACTGCTGCCCCAGGTCCCAAAATGACTGACCAGCAGACGGGCAGAGTCGGTGTACTGGGGTTGTCCACGTGGGGTCCTAGCAAGTAGGAGAGTAGACCCAGAAAGGGGATGTTCCCAGTCCCCTCCTCAGCCAGCACCTCGTTTCTCTACTTGTAAATACTGTGTTTTTTAAAATCTTGTCTTGAAATATATTTTCTATTGCTATAAAAGATAACAGGTGAGATACACAAATGAAATTTGGAGTTTTAAAATTTATTTGAGGCTTACTGGTCTTATTTTTAGAAGGAAAAATATTGTATGTGATGGTTTTGCTTGTGATATTAAAATGAATAAAAATTAAAATTGAATATGCTAATCTGTAGATGACTAGTTTTTTGTTTTTTGTGGTTTGTTTTTCTTTTTTTTTTCTATTTTGTGCTGAGGTCTTACTTTGTTGCCCAGCCTGTCTCAAGTACACCCCATCCCAGCCTCCTGAGTACCTAGGAGCCCTAGGTTAGGAGCTCTCCGCCTAACCTGGTTTACTATAAAATTTTTATAACAGTGTGTTCCTCTGTGAGTACTACACTGTCTTGCACATATTCACCAACTTTCGGGAGGTGTAGCAATTTTGATATGTTTATAACTTCAGAATTCAAACAAAGGCTATGTGAAATCAGGGTTACATTTCGATTTTTTTATGTAAGAATCATCTCTGAGTTGGCATCCTTTGTTAATGTTGCTGTGGTTTTCAAATGGTGCCAGGAGTCTTGAATTCCTGTAGCAGCAGGTACTAGAATAAGCCGGGCAGGCTTCTGGGTTGAGCATGGAGGGCAAGAGTGCTCCAGAGCTTCAGGCCTCTGCACTCTCTCCCTCTCACTGGTGAATTCTTGTGATATTGATTCTGTTAGTTTTCGAGTCATGCATATTAAGGATTCTTGCAATACACTGCATCTTTATCATTTTTGCTTCATATTCATTTGTTTTATCTACAGGTGTTGACTTTAAAATCAAGACTGTAGAACTAAGAGGGAAGAAAATTAGATTGCAGATCTGGTAAGTGGCAGTCTGTCCCAGTCTGTCCCTGTGTGTTTCCATGCTGCCTATAAGAGCCATCTCACCTCGCCGACTTCCCTTCGCATTTTAAAATAATATGGACAGCTTCCTGAGAGCGGCTCCTTCCTTCACTTCATTTGCACGTGGGGTGTCATGTTGCTGTCCTGAGAGCCTGTTTGAGCCTCTCTGCCTTTGTTTTCCATCACTGACCTATCTCCAGACTGCCACCACTGAAATAATTGCTTCACTTGAACTGGGCATGTAGCTCAATGGTAGAACTCTTTGCTTGGCATGTGCAAGGCCCTGGCTTCCATCCCCAGCACTGGTAGGGGAAAGGCCTGTCTTCACGTCTTTAAAATTCCTGCATGGTATTCAAACAATCCCAGTACGTTCATAATCATATTGTCACCTACACAGGCAGCTTAGGGGCCCCATGCTGGCACAGTATGGACATGGTGTGACAGGCATGCCCCTTCCTGTTAGTTTGACTGGGGCCTCTTCTGCATACCAGAGGGGACCCAGAAACCCCACCTGAGGAGAGAAGACCCTCAGCTCAGCATGGAACAAGAGGCCTGACCAGCTGTGTTCTAACCGTGCTCGGTGCTTAAATGCCTCTTTTCCCTATTAACCCACAGTGTTATTATCTCTAAGTCCCCGATGTTGCTATCCACCTCTACAGAAGACAGGATGGGCTCTGGCCTGCAGAGCTTTAGTGGTAGTCCCACCGAGCTGTTCGGAGAATGCATTGTGGTTTTCACAATACTGGTGCAACACACTCAGCTTACTAACTCCTCTTGGCAGGTCGCCCTCAGCTCTGACTGTCTGTCCACCATCTGTGTGTGTTTGCTTTCATCTGCGTTAACTGCTGCTGCATCTGTCACCGGTCATCTAACGCTTGAATGTTAGTGGCATGTCTCCATCCTTCATCCATGTCCTTGTCTGGGGCACAGCTGCAGCCGAGCCAGCCTTGCTCTACCGATGTCCTGAGGTAATTATTTTCATTTGGTCATCTGCAACTGTGTGACCCACATAAGGGCTTTGGGGGTTTTGTGGGTTTGTTTGTTCCTAACGGTTTTACCTAAAGACTTAGGTAACAAGAAATAACTATTTCTTACACTAGTCTACAAAAAGGTAACAGTCTCTGTGTAGTTCATTGCTGTCCATCAAATTTTCTTTCACGGACTGGAGAGAGTGCTTAGCAGGTAAGTCCCCTGGCTGCTCTTTCAGAGGACCTGAGTTTGAACCCCAGCACCCACAGTGTAACTCACAACTGTCTATAACTCCAGTCTCAGGGATCTAACACCCTCTTCTGACCTCCTTGGGCTCCAGGCACATACTTGGTACACACACATACATGCAGAAAAACACCCATATGCATAAAATCTTAATCTCTGACACAAGCTGCTGTTTCTAACTGTAAGCTCCGTAAGGGCTCGGGGCATGTCCACCTCCGCACCTAGCATCTGTGGCTATTGTTTTTTGCTCTGAGAAGGGTAATGAAGCTAATATTAGAATGTGTGGTTTGAGCGAGTGACAGGCAGAATATGTCCTGGGGCTGGAGAGATGGCTCATCAGTTAAAAGCAGCTGTTGCTCTTGCAAAGGACCTGAATTTGGTTCCCAATACCCATGTTGCATTGCTCACTCACAACTGCCTGGAATTTCAGCTCTAGAAGACCCGACACCTTCTGGCCTCCAAGGGCACCCTCACGCATTTACATAATTAGAAATAAGGTGGCTTTGTTTTGTTTTATTTTTGTAGCTGTCTGAACATTTATGTGCCTCTTGTTGGTTGTGTCCAGCCTCCCCTACAGTGGCTTTAGCTCTCATCAGTTCCTGGCTTCCCTTATGGAAGCCTGGTCCATGAATTGGTAGTGTGTACTCAGCCACTGGGGGTTCTCAGACCATTTTTAGATGTGAAAGCATTCTCCAGAAACTGCCCTCTGCCCTCTTGACCCTCTGTAAATTTCTGCAACGTCAGCATGACACCAGTGACTGTCACGGGGAAGAGTGGTGGTGTGCTCTGGATTCACTGCAAAGCTGATACACACTTCTGCTTGGAATATTCCAGTGTTTGGTTAGCAAGCAAGACCTGTGTGTCACGGTGCTTCTCGCTGTGAGAAGGTACTTAACAGGAGCAACTTAAGAGAAGAATGGTGGGTCTCAGGGTTTGAGGGAGTGCAGTTCCTTGTGGTGGAGAGGGGGTGTGCAGGGATGGCTTGCAGCGGAAGCCCGGGGCTGCTTGCTCACATCTCAGCAGCCCAGAACGAACGGGAATCAGCTCTCCTTTGCCTTGCTCCCGCCTTCATTCAGTCAGCCGCAGTGGTGTCACTTGTGTTCAGTATTGGGCGTGTCTCAGCTAATCCTCTCTGCAGACACTCCCTATAAATAGATAGGCCATGTGACTCACCCGTGCCCTAGGTGTTTTCAATCTGGTCAAGCCAACAGTCTATCATGACCTCTTTTCCTGAAGGGGTTTTCTGAATGAATCTTATTTCTACAGTACATCAGCTACTTGATTAATCACACCATACTCAAAAGACTTTCTTCTGAAATATTTTATTTAAAATAAGAGAAATGAGCCAGAGAAATAGCTCAATGATGGAAATCATTTTTTATTCATTTGCTAGTAAAGACAGTATTGGTGTCATGGTTCTCTTCTATTATTTCTTTAATAAACGTGCAGATTAGACACTGTTATTGGAAATGCTTGGGACCAGACGTGTTTGAGATTTTTAAAATACTTGCACAGGTACAATGAAATAACTTGGATTTGGGTTCCAGGTCTAAACATGAAACTCACTTGATTTGCATATACTTGATAATCTTATCCAACATCTCTGTATGCCTGCATTTTTCTAAATATTTATCTATTTCATGTAGATGCTCTATCTGCATGCACACCTACATACTAGCAGAGGGTATCAGGTCACAATACAGATGGTCATGAGCCACCATGTGGTTCTGGGAATTGAACTCAGGACTTCTGGAAGAGCAGACAGTCCTCTTAACCACTGCGCCATCTCTCCAGCCCAAGTGCCTGCTTTTTTTTTTTTTTTTTTTTTTTTTTTTTTTTTTTTTTTTTTTTTTTGAGGTCACATGAAGAATTTTTCATGCATGGCAGCAGCAGCACCCTGGCTTTCAGAAAGACCTTGGAAGATTTGGACTTTTAGATTGAGGGTGCTCAGCCTCTACTGTTTGTCACACTTCAGAGATAGGACAGTCCCCATGCCTTGGCTGTTGAAACGGGTCTCATCCATCATCAGCTGGGGCTCAAGGCAGCAGTGTCTGGGAGCAGCACCTCAGGATCCAGGAGGATCTTGCTGCACACAGGCCAGGACCCTGCCTTCTCGGGCCGTTGGTTACCACAGAGGAGCTGTTGGAGCACCTGCTTTCACATTGCATATTCTCACTGCCACGTTTTTAATTCCTTTATTGTGTGTAAAGGACTACTTTTTTTTTGTACTTAAGTATTTCTACATAAATGTACATATAATCATAAGGTCACTCAAATAAAATGTGCCAGTGGCATGTAGGTTCTTGAATTTGTGTGTGTCTGTGTGTGTACATGAAGGCAGGTACTTGTGGAGTTCAGAAAAAGGTGTCTGGTCCCTAGGAACTGTGGTTATAGGCAGTTGTGAGCCATCTGATATGAGTATAGGGAACCAAACTTGGGTCCTCTGGAGGAGCAGTGTACACTAACTGCTGAACCATCTCAGTCAGGTTACTGTGGTGAGATGTGTTTCCTACCTTGAGATGAAATAGAATTGAAAGAGTTGCTGGCCACTTCATTTTAGCCATCATCCCAGTCTTCACTGTCGAGGAGTTCTGAAGACTAGTCCTGCTTGTAAGAGGTTGGGCATGTCATGTTAAAATTGATCCCCTGCCCTGCAAATTAGTGTCACTCAAGTGAACGTATTAGGCAGAAATTAGAATCTTTGAACTAGAGCTGGAAAGATGACTCAGAAGTTAGGAGCAAACATTGCTCTTTGTTGTGGTGGTGGTGGTGGTTTTGGTTATTTTGAGATAGGGTCTCATATGTAACCCTGGCTGTCCTGAAACTCACTCTGTAGACTGGCAGGCCTCAAATTCAGAGACCTGGCTGCCTTTGCCTCCTGCATGCTGGGATTGAAGGGGCGTGTCACTATGCCCAGCTGTTACTGCTCTTTCAGAGGACCCAGTGTCTGGGCCCTTTCACCAAGGTAAAGGCACACAGCTGCCTGTAACTCCACCCCCTTGAGGACTCCACTCCCATGGGGTCTGAAGCCTCTGGCCTCTCAGTCACCACAGCCAGGTCCACATGCAGACAGTATACACATTCATGCACATAATTAAAAAGAAATCTTTTTAAATATCCTATTACCCAACTGTAAAATGGAATTGCAGAAATTTTTTAGCTTGTACCAAAAACAAAGAGAGAGATGAGAATAAGACCCCATGCTATTCTAATAAATGATTATTCAGCTGACAGCAAAACCCAAATCTCTAGAAATGAGTTCTTTATCATTCCAATGAAAATTCAACTTCCTGGAAGTGAAGGTGGAGAGAGTATTATGATTTTCTCTACCGTCCCAGTATGATACCATCATCAACAGTTGAATGTCTTATTACCGTCTAAGTTTTTTTTTAGCATGGGTTTTATTTTTTAATATCCTCATGTGAAGGGTGGAGAGACAGCTCCTGCAAAGAAAGCGGGTTGGGTTCTCAGAACCTACATGGTGCTGCCAGCCATCCCTGACTCCAGTTCCAAGAGACCTGCACAGGCACCAGGCGCACACAGGTACACATGCACACATTCAGCCAAACACCATACAAATAAACATAGATAAATTGTTGATGAATGAAGTGGCTCCATTCGGACGTCCAGTAGGCAGCTGGCCGAGAACCTGTCGAGTGGAATCAGCATTTCGCTTTCCCTGCTGCTCAGCCTGATGTGGTTATACACAACTCAGTTTACAGAGCTCTGGGGAGTAGGAAGTGGCTCAGCCTGAGTGTTCAGGCATGCAGAGGAGTCATTCTAAGGAACGGTTTCTCTGCTGCAGGCATTCAGAGCCGGACACCGAAAGCAGGCCAGAGAGTGGGCCTCACTGGGGAGCGGGACCAAAGGTGGCTTTGCAAGTGTGTGTTTTGATGTCCTGAGCTTCCTGTTGTGGCTCTGTGATGAAGGGTGCTCTCTGGGAAAGCTGTTGATCTCAGTGGACCATCTGTCTCCAACTGTGCAATTTAGTTGTTGGTCCATGCGCAGAAACACCACGTGTCTCCTGACGGTGTAAATCAGCCTGAACGAAGTTTCCTCTTCCACCTGTGAGGCTCGGGAGAAACCCCAGCATCTCGTCCCCTGGGTGGAGGAGTACACAGGGCGGGTTTGCACTAGGATGTGCACTTGGCTGCTTTGCTGGTTTGAGAACTGACTTTTACCACTGTTTCCTAGGGACACAGCAGGGCAGGAGAGATTTAACAGCATTACCTCAGCCTACTACAGAAGTGCCAAGGGGATCATACTAGTATATGACATCACCAAGAAAGAGACTTTTGATGATTTGCCAAAATGGATGAAGATGATTGATAAGGTATGTGTCGAGTTCTCCTATTGTAAATCCTCAGCTTGTGGGCATCACATTGTTACTCATAAGAGGAAAAAGTGAACAGAATGATACAGCATCCTCAGTGGACTAAAGTCATCTCAGCTGGACTGCATCCTCCCTGCAGATGAGACAGTGGTGGACCAGATTACCCAGCTCATCACTAAGAAGCAGACTTGCATTCTGGTCCCTGATTTCAAAGCCTGTCCTTACTCCTGCTCTGTCTGGCTGCTTCCTCAGAGTTAGACTAAACAGAAAAGGGCATGTGGGCATTCTTTATGTATTTATGGTGCCCATGTGTGGTCCAAGGGTCTAGTCATCCTCAGCACTGTAGATGTCCTTCAGCTCCTCATTTTGAACAAGAGAAGATTTCTCTAGGCTTTAATCCTTACAGAAAATCCTTTATTTCTGTGTTAATAAATTTGCATAGCAAACGTACCTTTAGAAGACAGAGCAGCTGGAGTTGAACTGTGACCGTGTGTATATGAGTATACATTTGACCACAATTTGAGAGGCTTTGTCCCCCAGGCAGTCATTAGATGTTTAATTCCTTTATGTTAGAAGCACACACAAAACAGGCTTCACGTAAAATCGTGTTCAGCTGACTGTGTTTGTATGCCATAGCTGCTAGAAAAGGTTCTTTTCTGGTTTTACAAGCTTTTAGTGTGTGCCTCTTCACAGTATGTTACGGCATGGTGCCGTGCACCTTTGATTCCAGCACTCAGGAGGCAGAGGTGAGTGGATCTCGGAATTTGAGATAAGCCTTGTCTACATGATAAGTTGGGTACACAGTTACCCTCATGCCACCAGGGAGGGTGGTCATCTTTGTTTGCCTGGGGCTTCCAGAGGGACACGAGCCCCTCACCGTCAAACGGGGAAGCCTGTCAGCAGGCCTGTCCAGCAGCTGGAGCCGCAAGCTGAGCGCTCACATCTGAAACACCAAGCGCAGAGGAGAGTGAATTTGAAATGATGTGAGTCTTTAAACTCTGATGGCCCACTCCTGTGACATCCTCCTCCAACAAGGCTACTTCCAAGTTTTCCCAACTGGGGAGCAAGTATTTAAATGACAGAGGCTGTGGGGACATCTCAGGCAAGCCACACACACACACACACACACACACACACACACACACACACACATGGTTTACAGAGTTCACTCTAAGGTACTCGAGCATTTTGTCACCTGAGCTATCTGCCTTCCGCTGGTGTTGGTCTTTTGGAGCTTACATTCCTGAAATGGCTCTTAGATTCTGAGAGGCATTTTAAGGAGCACAAGACCCATGTTTAGAGTTGTAGGCCCGCCCTTTAGAGATGCCTAACACACGTTTGTGTCCTGTGGAGGAGACCCTCGTCTGAAACCGTGGAGCTGCTCCTGAGGGCCTTAGGAAAGGACAGTACGTACACGCACTGTAGTCTAGACTTTTTTAAAGTATGTGGTGAGTGAGTGAGGGCCTGTGATGTGTAGGTTTATAAATCCAAAAGATTTGAATACCTGCCGTCCAATGCACTATCTACCATTCTTTGTGTATGCCGTGGGCAGTGGTGGCGCACGCCTTTGATCCCGGCACTAGGGAGGCAGAGGCAGACTCATCTCAGAGTTCAAGGACAACCAGGGCTACAGAGAGAAACCTTGTGGGAGAGGGCTATTCACACTCATCTTCCTTTTTTTTCTCTCATCTATTTATGTCGCTGTCATCTATTTATTTATTTATTGAGGCAGGGTCTCACTCTGTAGCCCTCTCTGGCTGACCTTGAACTCACAGAAAACTTCCTGCCTCTGCCTCCCAAGTGGCTCCAAGGCCACTAAGAGGAATCATTTTTGGAATGTTCTCCTTGGGCCAGGCTGTCCCGTCAAGCCAGTCAGCCAGGTTGCCGCCTCCCCTCACCAAAGAGTGCTCTGCCATGATCTCCGGATTTCCTCCATGCAGTCTGCTTCAAATGATATTTTTTTTCTAGAAGTACACGAAACAGAATGATTGAGAGATGCTAACGTTGTTGTTGTTGTTTTGTTTTTAAGAAAAAGGTTTTGTTGTACCTATATTTTTTAAGACCTTGCAGATATAGCTTAAAATTTTCTCAGTTATAGAGTTGATGTTAACTTCATGGTAGCATAAAAGTAAATTTAAAATCTTGGACTGACTGCATTTTATCACCAGATACTCTATTAGGAGGGCCTCCTGTGTGGTTCAGTGTTCTTCTAGAGCAGAGGGCTTGCTTTGGGTTTTATGTACCTTGCTTCTTTCTTCATCCATTTTGTTGAACTTTGGCCTTTTACAGTTGATGGCCATTTTAGTACATAGGTTCGTGTCGCTTTTAACCATTTCCTCCAGAGTCGTAAGAACGGCTGTGGGAGGCGGAGACCATGGTCAGAAGGTGCTCTCTAAAGCACTGTGAGCCCGGAACAATAAGTAACGGGTGACAAGTTGTGAGTTTTTCTGTCAGTGTGTGACATCTTTGAAAATCCTGCAGTATGCTTCAGAAGACGCTGAGCTTCTCCTGGTCGGAAACAAGCTGGACTGTGAGGCAGACAGAGAGATCTCCAGGCAGCAAGGAGAAAAGGTGCGTGAATCTGAGCACTCCCAGGCAGCACCCTGGGCTCTGCTGCTCGCCCTCCTCACAGCTCTGGTGACGAGCAGGGATTGGCCAGCACACCCCGCGGCACGCCTTCCTCTGCAGGGATTGCCCAGCACAACTCGTGTTGCTTGCTTTCTCTTTTCTTCTTTGGATTCTTTTTGAAGCAGAGTGCGAAAGCACTTTGGTATATACTGTATTATTATGTACATTGACATTTTCTACAGAACAATGTTTTTAGGTTGCAAGATTTGCGTTTATGATTTTTTTTCTCTTGCCTTGGCTTTTGCTAAGGATCCAATCATGGAGAAGCAATGATGCATCTTAAATGTCAGATACATTGTACATTTAGACTCTTACACACAAACGGATTTAAAGGTCTCTAGAGATTTTTTTATATGTACATTGCTGTTTACTTACAGGAATTTACTATTCAGATGAACTTGCAATTTAAACATAATGGGACTTTTCAGACCCTGATCCCTCCCTCCCTTAGTGGTAAATCGCAGAGTCTGTGGTCCTGTCAGAGGACTGGCAAGGGTCTGGGTGGCTCTGCGTGCTTACAGTGGGCACCTGTCTTCTCAGTTTGCACAGCAGGTAACTGGGATGCGGTTCTGTGAGGCCAGTGCCAAGGACAACTTCAATGTGGACGAGATATTTCTGAAGCTCGTTGATGACATTCTGAAAAAGGTAAAAAGTGGGTAGATGGGTGGATGGGCGGATGGGTGGATGGGCGGATGGGTAGGTAGGTAAGTAGGTAGGAGGGTGGGTGGGTGGGTAGATGGGTGCTCAGGTAGCTGCCATGGCGGCTGTTGCTCATGTATGGTATTGTGGAGTTCCTTAGTATTGATGGACATTCTGTTTGCTTTGCTTTGAGAGAGAATGTTCTGGAGTGACTTAATGTAAGGTCTAGTGGCTGTGAGAAGCTGGGGTGTGGCTCAGTGGTAGAACATTTGCCTAGCTAGTACTTAAGGCCCTGGATTCCTGCCCAGCGCTGTATAACTAGACTGGCTGCTAGTGTGGGGTTGTGGTATAGCGCTGCTTGATAGTCACGAGGCCCTGGGCCCGGTCTCCAGCACTACCGGTAAACAAAATGCCATGTTTATGTGACACTTCCCTTTCTTTTTTCTTTTCCCACAAGAATTAAGTTTAATATGGAGACCTAGCACATTGTGCAGCCTTCCCCACTTAGAGAAAGGCCAGTGCCACCGGCCCTCATCAGGCCCCTCTCTCTAGAGGGAGACCTTCGCAGAGGATGCTGGGCGGCCTCACTGAGCAGCAGCAGTGTCTCTGGACCACTAGTGTTTCCGCCGCTAGCTGGTGTTGAGCAGAGGATCCCTGAAGCACCATCACTAGATGACAGCCAATGCTCCTTAAGCAGCTGCAGTGTGTGTCGCTCACGGACAGCTGCACGTGTTTGTTACAGACAGGGTTATTTTTCCCCAGGTATTTTCCCTCAGAGTCCATTGAGCCTGGCAGTGTAGATCCTCCCAGGGCTAACAGGGAACAGGCTAGCAGCTAACAGGGCTAACTGTTAAGCACTAACTGAATATGTCACTGAGGCCCCAGGACCAGCTCATGGAATCTCACAGATGTGACATGATTCAGACGTGTCTGATGAAATGGTTGCTTGTGTCCCTGGCAGAGGTTGCTTCTTTCTTTAGACAGTGTACCAGTTCTCCACTGATTAATGTGTTACATTTCCATTATACTAGATTCTGTGCAAAAAAAAAGGGGGCGGGTTTTATCATGTTGCTAGGAATCACCCTCAGTACTTACAGGGCTGGAGAGATGGCTCATTGCTCTTCCAGAGGACTCAGGTTTGATTCCCAGAACCCACCTAGCATGTCACAGCCATCTGTAACTTCAGCTCGCAGAGACCCAACACCCTCTTCTGATTTCCTTTAATGGACGCGTGGTACACAGACACACATGCAGGCAACGCACCCATACATAAATCAGAGTTGTACAATTTAGAGCATCCCCTGTTGCTCGCAAGACTAAGGCCTGTCTGTGTTCTCTCCTTGTCTTTTAGATGCCTCTTGACATTTTGAGAAATGAGTTATCCAATAGCATCCTGTCTCTACAACCAGAGCCGGAGATCCCACCAGAGCTGCCTCCGCCCAGACCACACGTCCGATGCTGTTGATTGGCTACTTGGAAGACAGTGCAGGCAATTCCTAGAAGGGGGAAACCATTCTGTTCTGCACTACAATCATGTGACAATTTCCTTTCGCACTTTGTAACCCAAGTCAGCTCTACACTAACTTGTAAATATGCACATATGCAATCCTGGGTAAGGTTATAAGTTGCATACTTCCCTTCAAATTATATTTCCTCATTTCCCCAGTGTCTAGTGTACATACACTGGGAGACGTAGTACTTCTAATATGAAGAATGGGAGAGGAGAAAGGCATAAAAATCTCTCCGTTACTAGAAATGTCCTTGGTAATTACACTACAAGGCAGACACTCCGGTGACAAGAGAGGACCTGGTGCTTCGCTTGCTGTTTCAAAGAAACTCTACAGAACTGAAGATTTTTTGAAAAAGCTGACATGACGACCACTTTTCGTTATTTACGAGGCTTTCCAAGATGTAGCATCCTGAGGTTTGGAGTGTCTCTGCCCCAAAGCAAAGCTCCTTTCGCAGCCACCACAGAGGCTTTTTACAGGGTACATAGTGAGAGGGTTTCCTAGGTAGAGGGCTGGACTGGACGTGGTCCTGTGGCTGCAGAATCCTGTGGGTTTCCCTTTGGCTGTGAACTGCTCTAAGAAGGACAGAGATTCGATAGAGAAGGACTGTTGGGCTGGGATTATAGCTCAGTGTTTGAGCATTTGCCCATCATACATGAGGCCCTGGGTTCAGTCCCCAGCATCACAAGGAAAAGGAAAAAAAAAAGAAAGAAAGAAAAGAAAAAAAAGAAATAAAAATAAAGAAGCATTTTTAAACTATAGAAAAGATTTTAAACCATACTGCTGTCCTACACAAATCCTGTTTAAGGGGATTTTAAGAGCTACATTTTAGTATATCAAAGAATACACATGCATTTGCCTAAAACATTCTGTATCTTTGTAATGATAAACTTCTCCCCTTGATGGTGAAGCTTATTCCTATTAAGCCTAGACTGTGTTCAAGTTTTTTGTTATTTTTTGGGTTTTTCCCCCCTTTGGTCTGATAAGGAATTTGTGAACTCTGTCTTTGGTATATCTTTTCTTAAACTGCACTGTTTTGTTTAGTCAGGGTAAATAAGTACATATTGAATAACTTGCTGTGTCCTGAGTGTTGTGGTATGAGAAGCATCGTGGTCTTTCTACACTAATGAAGTGCAAATAAAATTTTGTATTTATGAATGACAGTTGGATTTGCCACATGTATTCATGCAGTTCTGAATTACAATGCCAGATTCTTCACCAGCTCCACGTCTTGTGAGTGGTATTGGTAAGAAAGGCGTTCTGCCTTTGGAAAACACTCCGGCAGCATCTGGAAGGGTTCAGCACGGCTCTTCTGTGCAGTCCATCAGCTCGGATCTAAGCCTGTGTGCACCTTGGCCGGAGAGCAGGTATCGGGGTTTTCCAGCAGTGCCCATGGCAGCAGCATTCACAGAAGTCAGGAAAGCCCAGGGGGCAGTCCACCAAACACTTGACTTACGGAAACAGTAGATAATACTCAGTGTGCGTATAGGAGGCAGCGGCAGATGGACCGCAAGATCATGACCAGTATGGTCTCCCTAGTAACGATACACTTGCTGTGTAGCCAGGTAAAACCTCATGTAACAACACACACACCCACCCACCCACCCCCAAAAAAAAAAGAAAAGTCAGCCTACCCTATGCTGTTTTGCTGTTTTGCAATGGTTTTGGGCTGGGTGAAGGGGGCGAGGCTAGAAGCCGGGGTATAATGAGTGTTGGTGGGGAGGAGTCTGGGAAAGGGAACAGGCTGAGAGCTGGGTATAATGGGTTCAGTATTGGAGGAGAGTATGAGAGGCTGTAGAGATGAATGTTAGGGATGGGGACACATCCCAGGTGGTTGAAGATACTGAGCTCTGCTGGGCTTGGCGTTGCACGCCTTTAATCTGGGCATGATGGGAGAGAGACAGGCTGAGTCTGTGAGTTCAAGCCCAGGGAGTCCATGACAGCCAAGGCTACACGGAGAAGCCTTGTCACGAAAACAAATGAACAAAACATACTGAGTTCCTGCACCAAAAGAGGTGTGGAGGGGGTCAGTGTGGTATCATGAAAAGCGTAGCTTGGGCTCTAATTGATTACCCCATTGCCTGATGAGCTCACCTTTAAGCCCACTCAGTTCTCGGTCATATGAACTGGATCTGTGAGGAAGCCATGCATGCCAAGCTCTACCTCTTCCTGCTAAAACCTGGTGAGAAATGGAAGGAACTTAAAAAGAGGAAGGAAGGGACTTGGTTGGCACGTTGGCTCTGATGGTGGGACTTTGTGGGACCACAGCTTTGCTGCATGAGCATCTGGGCTCCTTTCTCTCCTGCCTGCCAGGCCATCCTGCACTTGCTGTTTTTCCTCAGTAGTCTCAGTACCCTGACCAGGGCCCTCCTTGTCTAAGTGCCCCGAGCTCCTGAGAGGGGTCTCTCTCTTCCTAGGGGCACCAACCTGTACTGACAGCTTGCAGTATGCATGCCTGTGGGTGCTGAGAGTGGTGGTTAGTAAAACTGACACTTCTGCCCTGGCTGCTCAGCCCTTTAAGGACCGCAACCCTGCGATGCCCATTGCAAAAATCTGAGGAAGGTCTGAGACCAGCTCACAGCCCTGTGCGCATGTCCATTTCCTGAGTTTGATCATCACACTCTAATTACATAAGATGTTACCACAAAAGGAGATAGGAATGAGAATGTGGCATCTCTGCTACATTCCTTTTTTCCAATTTTCTGTTGGCCTGAAGTTGCTTTCAGATGGTTTTTTGTTCTTGTTTTTGTTTTTTTAATGTTATAGCACCAGTAGCCACAGCTAATTACTATTTGCTGAATTCCAGGCCTCATTATATGAGGCTTACAGATTTTTTTTTAAAGATTTTTTGTTTGTTTGTTTGTTTGTTTGTTTGTTTTTTAAAGATTTATTTATTATGTATATACTGTTCTGCCTGCATGTATGTCTGCATACCAGAAGAGGGCACCAGATCTCATTATAGATGGTCATGAGCTACCATGCGGTTGCTAGGAATTGAACTCAGGACCTCTGGAAGAGCAACCAGTGCTCTTAACCTCTGAGTCATCTCTCCAGCCCAGATTTATTTATTTTTATGTGCATTGATGTTTTGCCTGCATGTATATATGTGTGAGGGTGCCAAATCTTCTGTATCTGTAGTTACTGACAAGTGTGTGCTGTCATGTGGGTGTTAGGAATTGAACCCTGATCCTCTGGAAGAGCAGCTAGTGCTTTAAACTGCTGAACCATCTCTCTAGTCCCCAGGCTTACAGATTCTTATCCTCACAAGTCCCCTGTGCTGGAGTCAGGTGGGAGTGATGGTGATCTGTTATCACCATTTCTCAGTTGAGGAAATTGAAGCACACAAGTTAAAAGATATTCACGTAGTCAAGAGTTGAACCTACATAACCTAGTTTTAGAGATCAGACCTTCACCACTGTAATCCAGTGTGCTCGCGAACGGTGAGCTAGGAAGCAAGGATGATTTCACAGTTCCTAGGGCCCCTGAAGGCTCTCTGGCAGTCAGTATACAAACAGACTGCAAGCTGGCGAATTCTCATCCATGGGCTCAGCACTATGGATCAGAACCAGGGTTTTGCAAATACTAGGCAATTACTCTACTACTGATGTTTACCTCAACTGACCTTTTATGTCACCATCATTCCCAAAACAATAAAACTATCACCATCCTCTCCATGTTCCTTGTCTGGCTTCCAAAGTCCCTAATGTCAGTATTCTCAGGATGTTCTAGGCATCTCTCTCTCTGCTTCTGAGGAGTACAAGATTTGTTGACCTCTATCCAAGTAACTATTTCCGGCCTCTTTTATTTTATTCAGGTATGCGGCCACTTGCTTTCAGAGAGGCTAGGCCTTCCTCAGCCATGCAGTCACTGCTGACAGATCTCCACCACTGTGTGGCCAACCACGCCTTGCCAGCAAACCTGAGTTCATGCCTGATGAGGCGTTGTGAGAAAGGTTCTTTTTTAAGAGCTGTGTATTCAGGTACCTCCCTGGTTCTCAGCTGATCATCACAGACTGCTTAGAAATGTGCCAACTGTCCTGGAACTGTCAAGGAGCTGTGCTTGAAAACATTGTCAAAATATTAGGAGAGGCAGTTGAGAAAAATGGAGAGAGTCCAAGTCCTTCCGTTTTCCAGCCACTGAGCTAAACCTGAGCTTCTGGTTTTCATGCAATTTTTAGTTGAGTTCCTCCCCAAGCGGAAAGCATCCTCGACTCCCAAGGTTCCATTCAGCCCAGTGGTCAGGATCCACACTCCCCACACCTGTGGCTCAACCTTCATGAAACTCCAATGACTTCCGGTCTCTAGGGCCGACGCTCCTGGACTCTGAAGATAAACACTGTTTTCACAAAGTGCAGGCCCACACTTGGTGCCTATTTCCTTGTGACTTTCCATGGATCTGGTCTAGTCCAATCAAAACCTGTGCAGGATTCTTTGTAGAAACCAACAAGCTAATTCCGAATTTTATACACAGAGGCAAGTAAAGTAGACTAGCCAGTACAGTCTTGCAACAAAAAGAAAAAAGTGTCAGAATCCCCATTACTCCACCTGGTTTTAATAATTCTCGTCAATCTCCATTAGTACAGACAGGAGAAGGGTGGAGTGCAGTGGAGACAAAAATGAACCAGTTCGGTATGGAACAAGGCAATTGAGTAGGGAAAGGATCATCAGTCTATGCCTTTGTATGAAAACCACCTGGGTTCAGTTCCCACAAGAACAAAACAAAAGCAATATTGAGAGCTGGAGAGGCGACTTGGTGGTGTAGACCTGTTTTCTCCTCCAGAACCCAGCTCGTCAGGCTACTCAGAACTGCTTAGCTCCTGGCGATCCAGTTCCTCTGCCTCTATGGGCACCTGTATTCATGGCACGTGCCCATAATTCAAAATGAAATAAGTGTTTTAAGAGGATTTTTAAAGACACGGTGCTAAGTCAGCATCATATGGTACTCTAGTTACAGTTTTTGTGTTTTGTGTTATCAGTTAAAAATTAAAAGAAACCTAATTCCAAATAAGTTCTAAACCATAAATACGACATCTAAAACTAAAATCCAAACTAGAAAACAAAAACCTTTTGGGAAGGCTTTAATCCCCCGGAGCCTCCTGAGGTAGATTCTGACGTATAGAGTGATGCGGTGATCCAAGGAGCAGAACCTCCAGGCTAGCCACAGCCAATCCCCAATTTCTTTTGGGTATTGGACTCTTTGATCTCCTTGTGTTAACCTGTTTAAACTGTTTTCAGCATGCTTCATGACGCTGAAAAACCTGAATACCAAGATCCGGCGACCCCCATGCATTCATTCCATCTCCACTGGCTTTTGAACCTTCCACCAGACGTGAACCAGCCCTACCATCTGCCTGGTGCTTTTTAAACACACGAGTTGTTTTCAGTTATCTGCGCAGCTTGCCCACACGTCAGGCTGCTGCTGCAAATACAAGCTTCAAAATCTCATGTTCAGCTTTATCAAAAATGGACATAGTGCAAAGCCCTTCCCAGCTGCATCCCCAGGTAGCTGGGCAAAGAGCAGGAGGCCCTGGTCAGGCTCCCTGGCATTCTTTGCTGTGCTCTGACGCCAAGTCCTCACCTGACGTGACATAACTTCTTGAATCCAGTATTACGTGGGAGAAGGGGTGGGATGGGATGGATGGAAATATCAGAAGAATTTCTGTTTTCTGTGCTTTACAGACTTCATTGGTCCCATCCGGCGGGCTTGGTTTAGCTGCTACGATAATGCAAACAGTCCACTAGGTGGCAGCAGAGCACCACTCACTGTGTTGCAAGCGTGCTTCTGTAAACTGATTTCTAAATTACTCTTGAACATTTTACACTGTAAAATGAATGCGTAATTAAAACTTGCCATTTGAGTGTTACATACAATTAATAAGCATGAGTTTTTTAATATACTCTAGATTTTAGCAATAATTTTATCTAATAAATTCCATTTGAACATAGGGGAAATTTCTGAAGATCTTAAGATATAAAGAAATTCTAAACCAGGCTGTGTTGGCACATAACTTTGATCCCAGCACTTGGGAGGCAGAGGCAGGCAGCTCTCTGTGAGTTCAAGGCCAGCTGGTCTACAGATCAAGTTCCAGGACAGCCAAGGCATAGATAAACCCTGACTTGAAAAAGAACAAAAACAAACAAAAAACAAATCTAGATGTAAACAA